GAGAGCAGCCTCGCAATCACATGATAATTAGCTGGGCTCTCTGTGAGATGCTTTGGTTTTGGGGGAACCTCTTGACTGAAGAGAGAAACTGGAATTTGATTTTTAATTTCATGGTGGGTTAAGAACTGTTTGAGGCTGATAGGATATCACAGTCCATTTTTAAACTTTTTTTAACATGTACTCATTGCAAATAGTGCTGCTTAAGCTAGCAGGAAGATATGAGTATGAATGATAATTAATGTTTAAGGCTTACAGAATAAGAACATGCTAGTTATTAAGCTTTACTCAGAAAAAAAAAAATAATCAGACAATAAGCATATAAAAGGTGCACCAAATACTGAAGTGGAAAATTGTCTCTCCATTCTTTAAAATCAAGTCAGCAACTAAACATTCATCCCAGTAGCTCACAGACTGACAGACACCAACTCTTAACAGTAAATGAAATTGACTTCTAATGTCAGTTGAGTTTTCCATGTAAGACTGGGTGTAGACACCTAATGGGCTGGTTGTGTCCTCCTATGTATGCGTGTCTGTGTGTGGGAGTGTTCCTGCCCTTATGGCCACATCCTTTCCAGCTGTGGCTGCTTGCCCATCTAAATGAAACCACTCTTTGGAACATCTTGAACCTCATGTTGATCACACTGACTGCCTAAGTCAGGTAAGTCACCCGATGTCTCCTTGCTTGAATCAGTGTCTGGCTATCTGATTGTACCTGGAATCATTAGGGAACTCTTCTCTGAGAAACATGGTGTGAGTAAAGCTGCAGGGTTCTTCCTCGGACATTTCAGTGCTAACAAAAAGATAATGTATTTGTAGGAAAAAATGTGCCTGTAGAGAGGAGATAACTGATAAAAAGATTTCTTCATTTACATAAGCTGAAACCTAGAAAATATTTTGCTTTCTTTTTACAGCAACATTTATCCTTCTTCTGGTATTTGTATATCTCAGTGGTGAAAGTTCAATATATGAACATATGAGGAAGAGTGGTCAGGTGGGAGGGTAGGATGGATATCTTCTGGTTTTACTGTTTGGTGAAATCAGGAAGTTCCACAGATGGAATCCAGGCTTTAAATTTGCCTTAGTGGGAGAAAAGGGGTGGCAGAGAAAAGGGATAACTAACTGGGGCATGTGAGCTGAAGCTATCTGCTGCACTCCAGGACTCCAGCTTTTTCCAAAGACTTTGTAAGGAATTACATCAGCGTGTAAAAGTTGAAGAAATCTAACTGGAGTACTTCAGTAGGTAGGAGAAAGCTACATGATCACATTCCTTTGCACTGGTAGAGATGGGATTTGAAGTTGTCACAAGAAAGATTGCATTCCTTCTCTTAGTATAGACAAACAGAAGGAAAATGTGCCCAAACCAGAGTGTGCAGGGAGACCATGCATGCAACATGCTTATAAATTACAGGTGAAAAGCAAGATATTACCTCAAAATCTCCTGTGCTTTTTGTAGTGTGCTTAAGAAGCATATTGGTGTTTGACTGTGCATTTTGCTCTGGCAGGAAACATCTACAGCATGACTTTCTTTTACCTGCATACAACATTGAAACAGCTGGAGATAAAATTGGGACATTAGTTGATTAGAAAAGAAATAAACAAAATAGAGTTGCAGGTAATCTTTATGATGCATTTAAAGAATTCAGGAGTATTGTTGATCTTTTCCTTCCTTTGAGTTTTATTGTATATGTATTTATGGGTCTCTGGTAACAAATCAGGAAAAAATGCTGGCAGTAAAATAAGCTTTAAAATACGTATCCTTTTGTACTGTTTTCTAAGGGCTTTAATAATTTTTGTACTGTTGTCTCCTAAAATAGCATTAAAGTGGAAAGAAGTCTTAGATTTTTGAGAATTACTGTCTTAGCATCCTACATAAACTATGCCTATATATTTATATAAACAACTGCAGTTAATGCATATTGAAGTACCTTTTACTAAGACCTTGGGTTTTTTTACTTCTACTCTTTTTACTAAGACCTTACTAAACCATAAGCTGGTTTATGTTCAAATAAGTTTTGGAATTAACATACTGCTAGCTTAATATGCAGAACTGGTAATGCTCTGTGACACTGCACGTTTCTGGCTGAGTTACTTAGGCTTTGATCCAACTATGTGTCTAATATCTATGAGCTATATGACGTGAGTTTTACATTAAATTACTTCTTTCACTTTATTTTAGCAAATAATGAAGAATACAGAATCACAGAATGGTAGGGGTTGAAAGGGATCTCAGGAGATCATCTAGTCCAAGCCCTCTGCCAAAGCAGATGCCCTACACCAGGTTACATGTAGAAGGTGTAAAGTATCTCTGTTTATTTGGCTTGTAATGCATGATTGGAATTTCCTATATGAAGATAAGGCAAAATAAATGGTACAAGTAGGGAAATTAGTCCATGCACATTTTTAAATTGCAGTGTCCCTGTGTATTTAAAGAAGCTGCCTGATGTCAATAGGGACTACTGAAGGGAAAAATAAAGAGCAAGTGGGAAATATGTTCCCATCTGCACTCACTATTTAGGAAGAGTGGGAGAAATTTTGCAGGTGTAGGGGATGTTCTTGAGTCATGAGGCTGGACGAAGCTGGAGGAAGCAAGGACAGGCTACAGCTGTTAGGAGGTATGGAAATAGTTGTATAAGTCAACAATCACTGGTTATTGTGTATGGTATAACAGAGCTAGACTTTGGTATGAAATTTGAGGAATGTCTATCCCCTTGCTAAAACAGCAACTGTATTTTGTTCATCTGACTGTGGGAAACCATATACACCCTGCAAGCATGGTGATGATACTGGTGCTTGTGAGTTTTTCACAAACTCATAGTGGTGGAAATTTTTAGAGCAAAACACTAACTAGAGGCTTTGGAAATACTGGCAGCATTTTACTTACCTGCCCTTGAATATGTACATTTCTAGCTGTGTCTATAGATCTATGTGCAATTTATTAAAATCAGATAGTTCAAGATGCTTATTGCTCCTCTGGCACAGTAACTGTGCTATCAAAGTAGGTACTGCATAATACAGTAATGAAAGTTAGTAATCATTACTATTTTTAATTTTTATAGCATTAAAATATTTAATTGTCTTAGTGTAAACTTTTTGCTTATTAATGTCTAAAAAAGAGGCTGATGTCATGAGACCTAGTAGTGAAAATAGATAACTGGGAGTCAAATCTCTGTCAAACTGATCAAGGACAAGTCTTAAGAGGTTCAGTAGCTACCAGGAGTGTATACAGATGAATTAATTAAATCCACAACAAAATTTAATTGTGAAGATGGCATATAAGATGATTGCAAAACATTTTTATTTGCTATGGTTTCGTATATGACATACCACAGTTTCCTTATGTTAGAAGTGCTTATGAAAGAAAACTGCCATGTGCAGGGGCATGAAGAAAGTTTCTACAATGCACAAACCCCAGCATTGCATTCTGTTCTTCTTAAGGACCACGTAATACCCGGAACCCCTTTTGTTGCATAGGGACCTCAGTTATATCTGGAATCTCTGTGCTACTGCAGTGCTCATAATAGTAAAGAGTGCCCATATGTGATAAATGGCATGAAATATAGGAAATGTGGGGGTTTTTTCTCCCTGCAGGAGAAGGATCCAAAGAACCCTTCGGGAGCTACAGTGGGGCTTGGTGTGGTGATAGTTGGAAATGAAGTTTTGCTATTGCCTGAGGGTAGAATATAGAGGCAAGCAGATGATTTCTATTCGTTGCTTTTTGTTATTTACGAGACCTAGGATAATGCCACATACTGTTACCCTAAGAATCTGGAACTGAACCCTGTGCTATGATGTTAGACCATCTGTAGACTTTCCACTAAATTGTCTTTGCAGGTCCAAGATAATAGTTTAAAAGCTAGTATAGTGAATTGTTAACAGCAGCATTTGATCATGAACTTGTATTTTCACAGATACTGGCTTGCTTTTTCAGTAGAATATAAATTATGTTTACAATATGATAAACTAACTAATGGGTTTGTGGTTTTGTTAGAAAAGTATAGCTGACTTCAAAAGAGATTAGAAGAATTTACGGAAGTATAGTCTTCACCCAAATGCAACCTGGAAACCTTTAAACCAGTCTGTGTTTATATTCATAAGTTTTACCAAAAATCTTTCAGTCCACCTGCTGACATCGGCTTTGTGCTATACAACTGAGTTTTGATCTGGGACAGAATGTGAAGGTGGAACTAGGAGTAAAGCAGCTGGAACTAGTCAGAAAAGAAAGAGAGCTTCAGCAGCTCCAAAGGGAAACAAAATGTGAAATGTTTTCTTATTCATCCTTTTTTGCATGCTTGGCCTCCAAGGCTCTGGTTTATTATTTCTTTTTATTCTTTAAGCTATTTAGTGTACATGTGTTCTAGAATTGAAAGTTTTTCAAAACTGTTTTGTTCTCACTTGTTTAGTGTTGCTTAACGTGGCTTAATTTTGTACTTTCTTGCTGAGAGATTTTCATTTCCATTTCCCACAGCTTTGAGTTGTGGCACTTTTATATGACAAGTGTCTTCATTGCTAGCCAACTGTGGCATATTTCATTTGTAAATTAATGTTTGTTGTTATCTATGTGTATTGTATGTAGATACCACCACCAAATTTTTCTTTTAAATAGATATGTGGGTGGGGACTTTCAAGGCTAGAAGGAAACCTTAGAAGTGTAACTCCCATTAATCTTACATTGTGAATAGCTTGCTTTTAGATGAATTTTGAATCATAAAAATAGTTGTGTGAATTGGAACAAATCATGATTGCGAGAGCAGAGCAGTGAACATATCATTTTGGTTACATGCTGCGCATCAGTGTCAAACTCTTAACAGCTCTGTGTTAAAAGCTCTGAGGGAAGAAAATAGAAATTTAAAGTGTTTCTTTATATTGTATACAGCTAGAAAGCCTCCATGTTGTTAATAAAATGCACTTACCCATTTCCTCCACAATTAAAAATCTCTTTCTGAGAAAATTTGCTCTGTATTTCTTACTGTCTTTGTTTTTTTTCTAGGGAAGTTTTTGACATGGATGACTGGAAACCACTTCTTGTTCTTCTGTTTGTTTCCACCTTCTGCTCTACAGATGCACAGCAGACTGGTAATACACTAAAGAAATTATTCTTCTTCAAGTTGATAACAAAATGAATGTTTTTTGATGTCATTAAACAGATAATTACTTCTTGGTTAAGCTATGCTTTTAGTAACTCTTAATTCCTTCAAAAATCTAGTTCAGAAAATGAACATTCTGGGAGTTACAAAAATGAAGGGAAGTAATATTTTCCCTTTCAATATATCTGCTGAACAGCAAAATTCACAGAAAATGTATTTTCGCAGTTTCTTTAAGGACTGTTATTGTTGAATGGTGAAATGGGGAGGGATATAAAAGAGGCATGGTAGCAAAACTAAAATCAGAACAGAAAAATTGGTGTTTAAAACAATGATGAATGTTTAAAATGTCATGTAGCTATAATTTTATAAGGAGACCTTTTTTCTTTTTCTGATTTTGTAACAGTCAGTGTGTACACCTCCACTAGTTTTTCCTCAATGAAGAGAAAAAGTTGGGGGTTAGAGACTATGCTGGTAATTAGGCATTTGGCTTTAATCCCCTTCTCAGTCATAAACTGTTACACTGAAGGATGCATTTAGGTCCAGTTTAATTTGTCTTGCATCTGATGTGCCCTCCAGATACGTATCTCTTTTCACTGAATGTGGGTGAAGTTAGAATCAAATTGTTCATGTTCTGGTGCCTCCTCTGATGTTCAAAGGGACTATCTTTGTTTTGGAGCAACTCCTCATGGGATTGTTATGAAGGTATGTGTGTTCTGAAGTGCTCAAATGGATACAGTTCTTGGATGCAACCTAGATTCCAGTAGTGATGTAGAAGACCTTGGTTAATGGAGTATGAAAGGAATGGCATGCTAAAGAATGCCGTGTCACTCCCACAGTCCTAACTAGAAGTTTCGATAGAAGGAAGATGAAAGTTTTATCTACATAAGTACTGTCAGATGTAGAATTTTTCAAGACTTTTTTTTTTTTTTCAGGATTAGTTTCACTAGAGTTCTTTGTTTATTTTGTCAAAATATAAAATTATAGCAATTATATAGCATGTTCAATGGTATGGTGTAGACTTAAAACTTCAGTCTAAACTTAAAATTGTGGAGGACAATGAAACGGTTGTAATTTTTGTTTAGCTTACATTGAAAGCCAGATCTGGGTATAGATTGACAATATTCCTTTTGACAACTCGTCTGTCACTTTTTTCCCCCCACTCTGTGCAGCATTTTCAAAACAATATGCTGATGTTTATTTTCCTTGTTGACTCCACTAAAAACATGAGCCTTTCAACCTTTGGGAAAATAAAACATTTAGTATCCCAAATAGTCAAACAGCTAGATGTTGGGCTTAACCAGCTGGGGAACAAGAGGCTGGAGAGCAGCCCTGGAGAGAGGGACCTGGGGGTGCTGGTCAACAGCAAGTTGAACATGAGCCAACATGTCCTGGCAGCCAAGAGGGCCAACCATGTCCTGGGGTGCATCAAACACTGCATGGCAAGCCAGTCAAGAAAGGTGCTCGTCCTGCTCTACTCCACACTGGTGCGGGCTCACCTTGAGTACTGGGTGCAGTTTTGGGTGCCACAGTATAAAAAGGATATAAAGCTACTGGAGAGGGTCCAGAGGAGTCCACAAAACTGGTGAAGGGTTTAGAGGGGAAGCTGTATGAGGAGAGGCTGAAGTCACTTGGTTTGTTCAGCCTGGGGGAGACTGAGAAGAGATCTCATCATGGTCTATAACTTCCTCACAAGGGGAAGAGGAGGGGAAGGCGCTGATCTCTTCTCTCTAGTGATGATAGGACCAGGGGAAATGGCAAGAAGATGTGCCAGGGGAGGTTTAGGTTCTTCACTCAGAGGGTGGTGGAGCACTGGAACAGGCTCCCCAGGGAGGTGGTCATGGCACCAAGCCTGACAATATTCAAGAAGTGTTTGGACAACACCTTCAGACACATGGTCTGAATCTTGGGATTGTCCTGTGCAGGGACAGGAGCTGGATTCGATGATCCTTGTGGGTCCCTTCCAACTCACAGCATTCTGTGATTCTAAGTATAGGATTGGCCTAGTCCAGTTTAGTGGCATAGGATAGGTGGAGTTTTTATGGAACACATGAAAATAACGAGGTGTTTGACCACATTTAGCAGAGCATTGCATTCACTGTAGGCTCATTGAAGACTGGAGGTGTGATGAAGTTTTTGCAGGAAGGCATTTTCATGGATGGTGCTGGAAGATGGCTCAGTGAAGGCACTCCACAGGTTGTAGTAGTCCTCACACCTGAATCCAGACACAGTATCATGGAGGCAACCTGTAGAAGAGATGGAGGTAAAAGTTGTCTCAGCCAGTGCTGGATAGAAGGTAGACGTGGAAGAAAAGATGAATCTCCTCTAGTACGAATTCCTAGACTTATGAAGGGGAGAGCATTGATCTGCTCTGGAAAAACATTGGCAGTGATATAGAAGCCTCACTTCAGAAGCTTTATGACCTTCATCCAAGTGTGCCAGCAGGTACAGTGTATTACCAGAGCAAAACCAGCAGCTTGAGTAGCTTCTAACTCACTGGTAAGGCAGAGCAACTTCTCAGGTGGCTGTGAGTGAAGAAAAGGGTGCAAATATTCGGCAGTTGTGCTTTTACAGAGGTGCTATATGGACAAAATATTTACCACCTTTGACTGTGTGGTGATAGTACTTGCCTTTGCACAGCTTGTTGTAATTACCTGTATTAACCAAGAGGAGCAAGGCAGTGGTCTAGAGGGATTGGCTGCAGTGGAATTGCCTGTTCTGACTGACAGAAAATTTTTGTTTTAGTTTTGTTTGTAGAAAATGGACATAGGAGAGTTTCTATTTAAACACAGAATAAATTCCCTAATATCCTGGGGTGTCCTGATTAGCAGTCACTCTGAAGGAGAGTTAGAAAAGCATTTCCTGTACTGTGGGAAAGGGACCAGTTAAGGTATGGTATTTATTTCAGGGATTTAATTTACTGCCAAAATCAATATATAAGTCTTTGCTCTTCAGTACTGATAGGGATTTAGATTTAATGTTTTGTTGTAGCACCATCTTGTGTATTGCCTTGAGGTGCTCCTTTTCATAGCAACCTATTCTGATTATCCCACCAATTATTCCATGGTGTGACCTACCTTGATATTGCCTTCCTTATGTTTACTTTGCTTTTACTGTTTTCCAATCCAGCTCTTGCAAATACTGTGTTACTTGTGGATAAATCCATCAAAATTAGGTCGAAAAACTTCCAGCTGATAAGGGCCTTTCTGTTAAAAATTGTTAATGCCCTAGATCAGGGGTCCTCAAACTATGGCCCGCGGGCCAGATACGGCCCCCTAGGGTCCTCAATCTGGCCCACCAGTATTTACAGAACTCCCCACGCTGGGGGTTGGGGGGGGGAAACCAAACAGCCTCCGGGACTGGGCTGGAACCAGTGCCTCGTCCTTGACCTGCTCCCTGCGGCGGGCGAGAGGCCAAATGAAAAATCTGAAATCTCCAGTGATGAACACTGGCATCACTTGCTACGACCAGCAGTGACAAATATGGAACCCAACATTGACCATCTCATTAGCCAAAAGCAGGCCCATAGTTCACATTGAAATATTATTTGTTTTTGTTGATTACAGTTGTTCTTCATTTTAAATATTGCATTATTTTCCCTGTTTTTTGTGCACTACTACAAATAAAATATGTGCAGTGTGCATAGGAATTCAGTCATTTTTTCCAAGCTATAGTCCTGCCCCCGACAGTGTCTGAGGGACAGTGAACCGGCCCCCTGTTTAAAAAGTTTGAGGACCCCTGCCCTAGATATTGGTCCAAGTAATGTAAGAATTGGGCTAGTGTTTTACAGTAGTGAGCAGAAGCTAGAGTTCACACTGAACACATTCAAGGATAAATTGGAAATCCTGAATTACTTGAAGAACTTATCTGGTGTTATAGACCTGCAGTTCAAAAATTCCTTTCACCAGGATCCTTGTTCCCACTGGTGAACCAACTGTACCATTGGATAGAGCTAATCTTCCCATGGCTATAAAAGCTTTGAAAGGAGATGGAATCAACTTAACTGCTCTTGGAGTGAACAAAGCAAGCAGAACAGAACTTGAAAAGATGATCGAAGGTCAAGATTGCTCTTTGCAGAGAGTTATGATGCACTGACAATAAAAAGGTTATGGAACTGGCTTCTGCAATGGAAATAACAGGCAAGAATTCTCTCCGCTTCAGGGGTACCAACATGCTGTCTTTCTCCACAAAAGTAATGCTGTTCAAGTGTTGGGTTTTTTTTTTTCCCCTCAGAGTGGCCCTTCAGGTAACAAGAGGATGAGTGTGGTGAGTGGGGCAGTTAATCTTACTTACCTTTATTGGTAGGTCTGACCTCCCTCAGTGGAGGTTTTGACTTTGGTCATGACTCTCCTAGCTTGTGTTTTAGGTGATATGTAAATTCTTCTGCAAGTTTATAGTGGAAAAGGATGAATTTTGTCTGTGCACTGAATGTCTCTGGGTTGAAGTAGGATAGATGAGTGGTTGGCCTTGCATGGCCTTGCTATGAACAGCTTCTGTGACTAAAGGTTTATATTGCAGAGGAAAAGGAAAAGATTAAACACCTCCAAAGTTATGTTCCTCACTAGCTGGCTTTCTTTCCCTAAAAAACCCTAACCTCTCTTCCCCCCTGCTTTTTTCCCCCTCTGCTTTTTCTCTAATTTTGCAGCAGTCAAGTGACAGATCTGGTATTCCTGATAGATGATCAGAAGGCATATCAAAAAGTAATTTTTCTGTCATGAAGACCTTCATGATGGAAGTTGTGGACAGCTTTGTTATTTCTAGGGATAAAGTATATGTTGGAATAGTCCAGTACAACCAAGAGCCCCAGAAAGAATTTTCTCTTAGTGAGTTCTATACTGATACTATGATAAAGGAACAGAGCAACAGAATCGAGCAATTGCGGTCCTCTGTGTTCACTGCCAAAGGGCTGAGGCTTGTCCTGAGCCTTTTTCAACCTGCTAATGGAGGCTGCAAGAGCCAAGAAGTCTCACAGAACCTTGTAGTGATTACAGGTGGGTACTCATCTGACAAGGTGAAGGATGCAGCAATCAGTGGCTTTGCGAAGCAATGGGATCTGTGTCTTTGCAGTTGACATAGGGATTATAAACTTCTTTGAGCTGCTTTTAATAGCTGGTGATGCAAGAAGAACGTTCACAGTGGAAAACTTTGATACATTGAGAGGAGTATTGTTAATCAGGTCTGTGAATCCAAAGATCTTCCTAGCCAGGGTAAGTAACATAAATGTTTTGAGTGTGGTGAATATCTACATGGCTACATGCAGTCCCTGATAAAAGTACCTGAGGTAGCTGGACAGCAATGCAACTGTTTTCCCAAAGGATACTGCTCAGGTTACTCAGTCTTGCAACTTTCTAGGCTTGCACCTTTCTTCAGTCAAGAAACATTCCCTCTTTGCTATGGGAAATAGCTTCTGAGTTAAGACAGTACTTCAGATCTAGCATTTGTATTCATAACTCCTCAGTATCTGAAAGGAGCCAGAGCAGATATGACCATGGTATCCAAATCAAAAGAGAGAAATGGGCAATTCAGTGATATTTTAAAAAGAGCTTTTCAAAAACCTAACTTTGTCTACAGCTGACCATACTGCTTTAGTGGGACTGTCAGCAGCAACTATTGACAAAACTTAAGTGTCAGAGAGGCACTGTGGAGAGGGGATATGAGAAAATCCAGCCTCATCCTTGGATATGTGGGAGATATTGGCAAAGTGTGAGCAGCAAATTCACAGTAATGCTGAGATGCTACCCAAAAGCTTTCCCTATGTAAGAAGCAGAAGGTGGTATCTCTTACTACATCATCTTGGTGGCAACAGTAGTTTCCATGCCACCCAGCCTGAGAGGCTCCCAACCCCAGAGAAAATAAAGTTTCAGTATTGCCTTTGATTAATGTAGCAACTTTTATCAGATGTCAGATGCTGGGTTTTTTTCTGAGTTTATTCTGACTTGGTGCTGCAGTATCAGTCTCTTTGTCACGTGGGAAGGCTGAAGCAGAAAACATACACAATTGCTCTTTAAAATTACATATTCATGTCAATTATATAGTAAGATAATACTTTAGATGTATTTCTTAAGTTGCAAAAAGAAAAATGTAGTGAATGACAAATCAAAAAGCTGAGCTCTTCCTTCACTGAAGGAGGGCTGGGGGGAGGACCTACTGTGGTGTAAGTGGATGGCATTGGTTGGGGATAACAGGAAGGGACAGTGCTGGAGTAGTTCTCTGTATGCCCAGACTGTGACTGTCCTTTAAAGCTCCATGTTGTCTTCCCTATGTTTTCATAATATAGGTGAAGTTTTACATGTGTTGGATACATACTCATTGTTCTATTTGTTATGCCATAAAACTGCTCCTACCCAGCTCTCCAGGTTTCATTCCCTTAGTGACCAGAAACTTACTGTGAGAAAGGAGCATTGGGATGACCACACTTCTTGTCTAAGGCTTTTTGTAACAATGGCTGAACAAATAGATAACTCTGCCTCTGTTGCACCTTGGGCTCATGAGATCTTAAATACAGCAAAACTGGCTGGTGTTTGCTGGGGTGCTGGGGGCCGGAATGAAGAGCTGAGCCTTCCCTTCTAAAGCCAGAAGCTACTATCTGTGTGAATTATATCTGATCAGATGGTTTTCAGAGAGGAAGACAGCTGGTCCTGTTTCAGTATGAGTTCTGCACCCCCACCACTTGTTTTTCTCCATCAAGAGCTAAGCAAATCTCCAGCTGAAAAGGCATCCCCTGGTTCCTGAAAGCAGAGAGAGAGGGCTGCCATGGAACAGTGTGACCGTGGCTGATGCAGTAGCACCTCCTGGTGTTTCATGGCCAGAGAACAGGGAGAATTAATGAGAGATATAGCAGTAAACTTATATGTATATGCATGTACAGGCAGGCACACTTGTTTAGAGAGAGAGAAGTTAAGGAAAGCGTATTGACTTTGATCTCACCGATGCATGTATGGATTGTTAAATTCTGCATAAATTTGTCTTATAAAACAAAAGATCAACTTCCAGTGAAGCCTGTTTTATCTTGTCCTGTCATGTTTTCCTATGTTTGCTGACCTCCTTTCCTGTAATTCCCCTTTCTCCAGTCATCTTCTCTTAAACTACAAGATTTTTCAAATTTAAAAAAAACTGCATTAAAGGTACAGAAAGTCACTGGGGAAAAGATACCTTTGGAGCAGTAACACAGGGCAGTGTAACAATGTGAATGTGTGTGAGAGAACAGGTGATTGATTAGAAAAAGAGGTTAGCTACACAGAGGTGTTCACTTCTGCAAATAAATACGGATTATCCACAGAGTATACATTACCTACCAAAAGCTGTTTTACACAGTTGTGCAGAACACACTAACACAAAAGTGAATGCTTTTTTGGTCTTCTGATGTTATTGGCTGTGAGATCTTAAACACAGATTTACAGCCAATCTTATTGCCAACACTGGGGAGTTGGCAAGGAATGTTTTAAGAGCTGGGCGGTGTGGCTGACCAATTGTCAGGGCTAAACTACTGCGTCCATGGTTGCCCTTTGCCCTGCCTCCAAATTATATGGTTAAAAAGACCCAGATCTCAGAAAAATCTCATTGTGAAAACATACTGTGTGTTTGCTGGACATGAATACATACTCGAAGAAATGTCCAATAGATTTTATATTCATGGAAATGTTTAATCAGAAACATCCCCCACAATTCGAAAAATTATGTTCCCTGAACTGATGATGGCCTTTGCATCACAGGTATTCTGTGAATCTTGAAATCAGATGTTGCTCTGAGGCCTGAATGTCAGATTTTTTTAGCCATAAAAACTCATTCAATGTGACCTTTTACATGTAAAGATTTTCATGCTGCTTACCATCAAATCATACCCTCTAGGGGGCAGTTGGTACCACAAGTGACAATACTGAAAGGTTAAAATATTTCTGGATTTATTTGGTTACAGAGCTGAACACATTCATCTTTTTTTGTGAGTGAGGGAAAACCCAGAAAACTGTAATGAACCTTGTAGGGAATTATGGTCTATGGGAACTAGCCCAAACATGGAAGCTAACCTTGTGTTTGATAAGTGTTTCAGAGTCAATGGGTGAAGGAGGAACAATATTAGGGAGAGTGCTGTTTTACAGATAAAATTGCATGCCTTCACCATCCTTGTAGAGGTACAATGGATGATATTGGATCTAGGAGTGTAGAATATAATGCAGCATGACACATGAAGAATGAAGGTATGAAAGAAATAAGCTAGGTGGTTTAGCTGCTTGATGAGGACAAGGTGATTGGAGAGGAGGGAGGAGTTAACCACATTGCAGTATTTGCTGTTATCAGGAGCTACACAAGCAATTCTGTAACTGAGGTAGCCCTCACCTAACAGCAGCTGTTACTCACAGTGGACATTTGACGTTGTGAGTAGGCAATGCTGCCTCTTTCTCTCACATTTGTTTCTTTGGTCTGTTGTTTTACATCTGTATGTATCATGTGGTCTTGTGACAAAGTGATAAAGCACACTCAGCCATCAAGCTTCCCATTGCAACTGGAATATGTGTTGTACGTTCTCAGTTGGTAACAAAGCTCACAGAAACATTTGCAAGATTAGGCCCTTTGAGGACATTAGACAGCTGGAGAACAATGACCAGTAACGTAGACCTTAGTATCTGCAAGTTCACATAGCCCCACTGAAAATGGTTGGCTGATGGTACTTTGTATTTACAGAAAACCTGTCTCACTGATTCTGACTTCTAGTTTTAAATCTAGCATATTGAATTTTGCTCCACTCCCATGATTCTGACAAAAGACCAGACCACAAATAGTGTGTGTTTACAGTTTCCTGTTTCCTCTGCTTTTTTCAGATTGTGATATAGATCTTTCTATAGCAATTGATATTTCAAAGCACATACATCCAGCATCCACAGTGCTTCTGAAACAGAAATTGCAAGAATTCCTCACCAAGCTTTTACTCCAGATGAAATCGCTGCCAAATACCAGCTGTAATGCTGGATCTCCAGTCAACATTAGATTCAAGTTCCAGGTGTTGTCACAGACCAAACAATTCATCTTTGACTCTGATTTTGAAGACTATAATGAAGAGGTCATCCAGAAGTTCTTAGATGCACAGACCACTGTGGACACCTACCTGAATGCAGACTTCTTACAGGCACTTGTGGAGAAGTTCTTCAGTGTGACCTCTGCTAAAGTGAAGGTAACTTAATGGTATGAATGTATGTTTTGGAAAAATTATACAATTTGGTGTTTTTAGACTGATGCTGAGTACTCCAGTGAAACAAAAAGGGAGTTCAGGAATTGGTGAATTCAATAAACAGAATCACAGAATGTTTGAGGAACCTCTGGAGGTCACTTTGTTCAACCCCCCTGCTCAAGGAGGGTCAACTAGAGGCTACACAGGACCATGTCTAGGTAGTTTTTGAGTATATGTAAGAGTAGAGACTACACAACCTCTCTAGGTAACCTGTGCTAGTGCTTGTTCACCCTAATGGTAAAAAAAAAAGTGTTTCCTTATGTTTGTATAGAACCTCGTGTTCTTTTATTTGCCTTAATATAGCTGCATATATAATTTCTGATTCCCTGAGCAGTCCTGCAGTGAAATGGTACCCAGAACATTTGGGTTAATACATATGATTGTGAGTATTCATACAGAAAACCTTTTTGTATCTACCATGGAATGTCTTTGCACTTTCAGTAGTGAAAACTATTCTCTTTCAGAAACTGTAAATCCAGAATAATGACAACTCTAAGCAGAAGTCACAGGAAATATAATCCAAGAAATTTGTTTACGGAAGTTTATTTGTGTAGTTAACTTGTCAAATAATTTCAAATAACAAAGTTGGTTCTGCTCAGGGATAACTCATGATCAGGAAAATTTGCACAGATGCTGCAGTTAGTTCATCTGTCTTGAAGTGGGGTGAAGGGAGAAGCATAAGGCTTGATCTGATCTCTTCTGAAGTGCATGGGGAATCTTTCCACTTAGGTGAAAGTAAGTTAGAGCTCATTGGAGTGTTTCAGGGTTATTGGCTTGACAGTTTATTCTTAATAAGGCACTGACTCAGTAAAGCACTGGGCATGTCTTGTAGTAGCTGTTTGAATATTATCACTTGCTAAGGTTTCCACGCAGGAAGACCTTCTTGCTGAGGAAGGACAGGTTATCGCTTCTAAAATATGTCAGAGGTTTCCTCTATGAACCTTATTTTAACTCTTATAAGATGTTAATTTTAATCTGATGTGGAGTGAGAAAACCATGTTGTTATGAATTCCCCTACTTTCAGATGAAAGTTGACATTCTATTTTACAGCATTTGCATAGGTATGGCTTACTGATTTAGCTTGTAATTCAGTGTATATTTAATACTTTTTTAATACCCCCCCCCTTTTTTTTTAAATTACCTTATTTTAACTCTTATAAGATGTTAATTTTAATCTGATGTGGAGTGAGAAAACCATGTTGTTATGAATTCCCCTACTTTCAGATGAAAGTTGACATTCTATTTTACAGCATTTGCATAGGTATGGCTTACTGATTTAGCTTGTAATTCAGTGTATATTTAATACTTTTTTAATACCCCCCCCCTTTTTTTTTAAATTGGCATTTTATGCTGATTGGGGAATATGACAATATACAATTTTGCTTCTTTTGGGCCTCAGTAGAGAAACTTGTGTGACATACAAGTAAAAGCAGTGCTTTTTTTCTCCTAATTGCCAATGCTGTTTGATCTCTGAAGGTTAGAGTTAAGCAAGACTTCTTTCTGCTTATGCATTATTACTAGAAATAAATATGCACCTTGAAAAGACAAGACTTTAGAATGCACATGAAATCTCAATTTAATCTTACTAGGATCCTGAGCAATAACATGCTTGTACTGTAAAGATTATTAGTTATAAACCTCATCAGGGATAGTAATTCTGTTACTGTAATTCAGATAGTAATTCTGTTAAATGTAATGTTGTTTGCATTTCTTCTTTTCTTTATTATTTGTTTGTTTTTCAGCAGAAGAGTTGGGCCTAATTCCAGCATTTTTGACAAAGCAAGACTCAGATGTGTTCCAACAAGAGCTTTATATAAATGAAAGCTTTGTAAACATATATAATGCCCATAATAGCACCTCACATTTCCCCCCACCCCCACGTTTTTAAAATGAAAACATTGCCCCAAAAAAGCATCAAGCCCAGGCTTACAATGTTGTTTCTAACAGTCTGTGATCTGTTTACCCATCCATGGTCCTGCACTCTACTATCACACTCTGCTTGAGCAAGTGTAGAATCAGTACCAGTGCCTCCATATTGGATGTTTGGAAACTTTCCACCACCAAAACCAGTTAACTCCTCCCACTCTTAAATTCCGGTCTCCCTGCTGCCTTAGCATAGAAGTGGGATGTTTGTTGTGGCAGTCATTTCATCTACCTTTGTCACCTGTGGAAAAATTTGCCTTAACAGAAGCTGTGCATTCTATAGGGAATGTAAAATAAGAAGGATAGGGGGGAAGGAGCTCTAGCTATGCTTGTCCACTTGTTGGTCAGAGAGTTTACTATGAACTAAAGTCATTACTTCAGAGGGAGGGACTTTTTATAAGGGCAATTAATGATAGAACAAGGGGAAATGGCTCTAAACTGAAAGAGGTTAGGTTTAGATTAGGTATTAGGAAGAAATTATTTACTCTGAAGGTGGTCAGACACTGGAACAGGTTGCCCAGAGAAGTTGTGGATGCCTCCTCCCTGGAAGTTTTCAAGGCCAGGTTGGATGAGGCTTTGAGCAACCTGGTCTAGTGGAAGGTGTCCATGCTGATGTCAGGGGTGTTGGAACTAGATGATCTTTAAGGTCCCTTCCAACCCTAACCATTCTATGATTCTATGATTACTGTTGGGGCCAGGAGACAGTTCAGCTGTGCAGCTTCTTTCTGGGAAACCTAATCCACTGGATGCATGGATTAGGCATTCCTCAGCACTTTTCCCAGCACATGTATCAGATCTGCCACAGTGTAGTTCAATTTGATCACCTCATAGCCAGTTTTCAATGCAAACTGTACTTTTTACAATGACTCAGCTTTTATTCTCTTCTCAATTGACTTGTCATCACTCCCTTTCCTGACAGGTTCTGTTAGTATTTTCAGATGGGCTGGACGATTCACTGGAAGATCTCAGAAAAACAGCTGACTCCCTTCGCTTTAAAGGTATTACAGTACCACATTGATACTCCAGCCTCCTGCTACCAATGACCCAATGTATTGCTCCTCAACTGCAACTCTTCCACGTAACATTGCCTCTCAACGCTTATATGACATTCCTCAGGAGTCACTGGGAGGGTGTTTGCTTCTCCATGTGAACCAGTCGTGGTTGGCAGATGATGCCAGAAACACACCAAGAGGTGCAGAGGGCTTGGGATGGTTCTGGTTTCTGGAGTCCAGCTCCAGCAGCCAGAGCAATTCAAGGCAGCCCCTCTCACTGGTGAGTGCAGCACTAGATGTTAGACCCGACTCTGACTTACGCAGGAGAAAACATTTTTACAGTTCCGTTTGGACATTGAGTAGCAGTCTGGTCTGACAACTGGGGAGAGAAGTTAATTGGAAAATTCCTGGTCTGAATTTTTCATTTATACACTGTTCTTGATAGCTTGATTTCTTTTAACATACTGTGTTTAAGTTATAAAATATAAGAGTCTTCTGGAGAACTGCTGTTTTTCACAATGATATTGAGGTCAAATAGTACAGTTCAGGCATTCACTAATTTAAATCTCTGCTTACATTGAAGGTCTTGATGCACTTCTATTAGTTGGCCTGGACAATACACAGAATTTGACTGAACTTCAGGAAATAGAGTTTGGCAGAGGGTTTGGATACAACAAACCTCTGAGTGTTGGGTTTGCACAGATTGCAAATATCTTGCAGAGAAACCTTGTAAGTCCTTCTGTGATATAAACAAAAAGGTGAAAAATCAGTCTTTGTTTATGATTAATATACATAAATTGGTATTTCTTGTCATTTTTCAGGATACTGTAGCAGAAAGGAAATGCTGTATGGTTGTTTGTAAATGCCTTGGAGAAAATGGTGATCGTGGTGGTCAGGGAAGTCCTGGGAGAAAGGTAGGAGAGCTAAGATAGACATTACTTAATAATTGCTTTATTTTTCAAAGTGTTTTCATTTTTTGTAGTATTTCAGAGCATGCATGCACGCATGTGCCCATGAAGGAGAAACATGAAATGTCATCACTTCTCTGCTGCATGTTCCTATTGCAAAAGTATTTTTGTAATGCAAATCATTCATACATATAAAATCCATTAAGTACTCTCCTTCACCAATCCAGCAGAAAATGGAGATGGATTTGAAAATTAAGTCTGATTAACCAAGAGGCTTATTAGATACTGTGAATGAGAAACTTCAACCAACAAACTGAGAGTAGAAAATAATTCTTCTTCACTAGGTGTGAGCCTGATCCTTTTCTGCCTCTGGTTATTCCAAATAACTTCTTCTCTAAGTTTCTTCTGATCCAATGCAGTATTAATTTACATTTTCCTTTAAAATTTTATATTGTCTGTTTTAAAGCCTTTTGAGTATTACATAATAACCACTTCTACAGCATGCTAATAGACTTCCTTATTAAGGTTTTTAGTTTATGTTGACTCCGTTTGACTACTATTAATTCCATTGTTTCTACTTATTCCAGTAACATGCTAAGTAAATTATATCTGTAGTTCACACTCTTCAGTTATGTGATTGCAGTTAAATGCATTTTTGTTGTCTCTTAGCAAAGGTGTAGTCTTCTAATATTTATCCATAAACCAATTAACTGATTTCATCGATTAATCTTGTTGATTTTCTTACACCTTTCTCTTTTATTAAAATGTCTAGATTAACATGCTTAGACAAAACAGTGTTCAGAATGTAGACATAGTTGTTTTGTAGACAGACATGGTGCGTAGGTTGTACAGCCTACAATTGTAAAAGCATGTTTTTGCAGCACAAATTCGTGTCTCATTTTTGTTTGTTTTCATTCCTAGAAATTCAGTTTGTTCTAGTTTCTCTCTGTTCAGCTTTTTGCCCCAAGCATCATATGTTTGCATCACTTCAAATATAGTTGCAATATTCTTAGAAGTTTTTGTAAGCTATTGCAATATCTTTGTCCTAACAAGTTTGCAACTCCTTGTATTTTTCATTTCACCTTAGAATTTCATTACTGTATAATGCTTCCTCATCCAAATCACTAAGGAAGCAATTTAATTTGACCAAATATTCCAATGAACTTTGTTAACCCACCAGGCAGTTTCCTGAAATATCATTGAAATTTTATATTGAACATTGTTGTGGTTTTGGTTTTTTTTTTCCTCTCTCCACAGCCATGTCAAGTACATAGGACTGTGTAGAGTGTCTGTGTAAATGTAGCTGATGGAGTCTGTCCTCCTCAGCATAACCAGATCTAATTTTCAGGAAATGTTTTCTATCTCCGTGTGCAGAGTAATCTGATAGAAATTAACCCAGTGTGCTTGGAGAACAGTGTTACTTATCTCTTAAGTTCCTGTTTTTCAGGGAAGTATGGGTTACACAGGATCTCCTGGCCATCCTGGTGAGGAAGGTGGGATTGTAAGTAAACATTATTCCTTCCTGCTAAGATGTTGTTGATTGGTGCCTGAACCTGTCTACACTTACTCATTCACTCAGTGCTCATCAATGTTAACCTAAAATATGTTTGAGCAACATGTATCTGAAGGCAAATATATGGACTTGCTTCTCTGTGCAACTGCTCCTCGCCATAGTTACCAATAACTTCTAATGCAGAAAGAGAATCAATTAAAAAGAATCACACAGTGGCATCTTACACAGTGTTTTTATGGCTAACTCATATACTCATTTTTTGTGACAGATTGTACCAGATTCTTTGCTGATAGTTCTTATAGAGAAGGCCATCCCTTCCCTTCTTAGCATGAATGAATATCTTGTGAATGGATAACAAAGCTAAATTTTGTAGTGTGCTTTGGTGATTTCCAAATCCTTTGTGTTGTGCTATTCCTCACATAAACTTGAATGTAATATTCGTAAGCCAAAGTCTGACCCACAAGGAGTATTTCTTCCTTTTTGCTGTCCAGAAACAAACAAAAATCCTGCAAAGAATAAGACATAATTTCCTTTGCACTGTAGATTCATTACTAGGTTTACAACACTGACTAAATACAGGTGAGAAGCCTGCAAACCAAGAACCAGCCAAGGATTGCTCTCTGTACGTAACTGTAAAATCCACATTGAAGTAGTTCCAGTTCTCACAGTAGATTGGTCAGCCTGAATTTGCCTTTGGTGAGGCAAGCCTGGGGCAAGCCTACTGTCTATTCAGAGAAAGGCTGTAGTGGAAAAGAACAGTTGTCATCTGAGATTATCAAGAAAGTGCATTGTGATGGTAGTTTCAGAATTTCAGTGGAAATCACTGGCTGTAAATACTGCAGTATTTTCCACATAATTTATTTTTTTTCAGGTGGCCTGATTGCTGAATATAAATCCATATAAGCAATTTCCAGAATGACTTAAAAATACTTATGTTACTCAGGAATACAACTATTCTCACATCCTTTCTCAGATATGAATGACATGATATAAGTAGGAATTAAAATTCAAACCCTGATGTTTTTTTTAATGAAAAACATTTTGAACGCATTGAAATTGGATGCCCCAAATTTTTCAGCACAGCATTTTGATTTGAAAGGTTCTAAATCTCATCCTTTTTGAAGTGGTGAAGTGGTGAATTTTTAATTTCTTTTTCTGCATGAAATTGAATTTCTATTTTTGACCTTCTGAGAATCCAGAATAATCTTCTAGAACAAATAAATTAATTATTAAGTCTTGTTTCTGAATTTTCTGATTCCTTAATTTTCCTTTTCTTTACTGTGGAAGGATGAGAAGTCATGTCCACACTTTCAGAAACTTTCTCCATCTCCTATGTGTGAAGTCTACAAGTGACTTTAGTGTTGTAAATTTTCCTTGCTAAAGGCTAAATTTTTTCCAGCCATAAGATAAGAATCTGAAGTATCCAAAACAGTTGAAAATAGTAAATGCACAGCAGAAAGCAGACTGCTGATAACAGGCTACAGAGGATGCCACTGTAAAGTCTCCAAGTAAAGGAGACTGAGGAGATAATGCTGGACAGCTTTGGTTTGTCATGGTGTCATACTCAGCTCAGGAATTAGTCTTAATGTTTCACACAGGCAATGCAGTCGGGCCAAAATGCTTAAACTTCTGTTTTTTCATATGGTGATGTGGCTCAGTGGCACCATTGTCTGACTTAATCTCAAATGTGATCCATGTACTTTTTTGTTAGTTTAGAGAGAGACCTTCTTTAATGATGAGAAAAGAAAGAGAATGGTCCTTGTTCTTGTGATCTTAGGCTCTTCTAGTTTGTCTTCTCTTTTGCATGGTAGTACAGGAGCTCTCATGTTTACTGAGTGTTTGTTCTCATTTCATTTGTCATTGTTTACCTTTTTAGACAGCAATTTTAGGGGGATCTACTGGAAGATGCTGCTCTCTTTCCAGTTTTTTTTTTTTTTTTTTTTTTTTTTTTTTTTTAGAACTTCCATCCTAACAAACCTGGAATAGAAGTCTTCAGAGATTAGAAGGAAATTATTCAATATTCAGTTAAAAAACAACCCACCCAAAGGCCTACCTTCAAGTACAGAGATATCAGTCAGAGGTTGGTAGTGCAGTCTAAAACATGGTGTGATAGCGAGAGCAGAGAACCAGGTGCAAGTCAAACTAGTGGTTGGCTACTCTCTTATGGCCAGTGTGAAAATTTCCAGATGACTTCCATTTATGTCCTTGGAGTAGTGAATGGTGGTATAATTCTATCTTGCTTTAATCTTATATGACAACTTAACCAGTAGCCATCATTGTATGGATGAGTTTGAACATTCTCTTTTGTTTCTTAGGGGGAGAGAGGCCCAACTGGTTTCAATGGGACCCAAGGAGACAGGGGATGTCCAGGCGACAGAGGCCATAAGGCAAGTATGTCACTTCGAATTGTTTCCTAATTTTGTTTCCCACAAAGCTATTTTCTGTACTGAGGACAAATCCCTGTGCTGTCTTCCTGAAACATTGAAGGACAGGAAGACCCAGCTGTAAGAATAGCAGACAATTTTTGCTGTTTCCTTTTGAGAGGTACTTTGTGTAACCGAAGCATCATCAAGTAGCTAAGGAATTTGTTAACTCGGCAACTTGCCAGTGACTTTTCCACCACCAACCCCAGGCTGACCTTAGGCAAAGTTATAAAGCTTTACAGAACAGTAATGAAAATTAAGGCTGTATTGTCTTCCCACAGGAAAGGGGTCAATCCCATATGTGACAATGGTGGGTATTACAGTAAGGACGACGAATACCGTGCCCAGCATGCCTCTGCACAGCAAGCTATTGTACCCTGCTTCTCAAGCTCAATGGAAATACTTTCACCAAATTTCTTCTATGTTTATTTTCAATTTCAGGGGGCCAGAGGCTATAGAGGAAGTCAGGTATGTGTTTTCATGTGTGATCAGTTTTCTTTGAGAAGTAGTCTGCTTCCTTTTAGGTTGGTATTGCCTTGTAAGATGAAAATATCAACAAGGACAGAAAACAGTGTAAAAACTTTAGAGTATTTAATATACTTTTTCTGTGGTTGTGTAAGAATGAATTTAAGTGAGCTGTTAGGCATCAAATTAGTAAAAACTAGCAATCTTGTATTTTTAGCATGGTGGCAGTCATAGTTGATTTAGTCTAATTGACAGGAAAGGAATTTATTTTCTGACTATTTTAATAATCTGTCAGGGTGGTAATTATGGTCAGCTGAATCTCATTCTAATTGTTGAGGAAGCAGAGCAGAAAGGGGAAAAAAAGATTGTGACTAATATTTATTACAGGTTTGAGCAGCATTTTCACTGAGTCATTATTGATATTTTTTCAATATCCAAACTTCTCTTCATCTATTTTTGTCATCCACTGATCATGCAACTCTGCTTTTTTAACCTTTCAGACATACCTGTTCATCAAAGAGATACTGTCACCAATTTGTTAATAAAATGTGGAGCCTGGAAGTCAGTGATCTATAATGGCAATATTCATTCCCAAACTAGAACAGTTAAAAGGGAATTCAAAGTGTATTGAGTGCTTTGATACAAAACAGCTCCTAGAAAAGATTTACATGTGGGAAAGTTCAGAGAGTGTTTCTCATACCTCAGCTCTGTTTAAAGTACTGCTCTGTACTGACTTTTTTTAATCCTCCTATGTGTTTTTCTTCCCTTTTCCATTTTCTACTCTGTTCCCTGAAGTAATTTGTCCTCCTTCATATATGTGAAACATCTGATTGTAGAAGGAGGAGAGTGCTTCCTGATGATTTTGATTTGTTCAAGTTGAATTGTACAGTAGGACTTACCAGGAGCACAAACCCTACTGAAATCCAGTGAATGTGTGAAAGTCTTCATTATATTGTGTCATTCTATCCACTAATTTTATTTTAACTAAAAATACAAAACTTTCATCACATAAAAAATGCTGTTGAATACTGCTAACTTAGTAAGGTTGAGGCAGTTTATTGAAGTCTGTAAGGCATTTTAATATAGCTATTTGGAGAAAAAAAGGCAATACTGAATATCTACTACTTTTGAAGGTGCTGCAGTTGAGAAAAAGATTTGAAAACTAACAAATGGAAAAGCAGAATTGAAATCTTGATGAAGATTTATAGTTATAATAACTGTTATTCTTATCAAGTGTTCCTAACTATGAATTGTTTTAAAAGTTAATAATTCATTAAAATCTGAATTACCAATTCCTTTGTATAATTATTATTCTTAATTATTCTTGCTAGCCATTGAAAACCACTATTCTTTTTCAAGTTTCCAAAAGTAGGGTGAACACTTCTTCCCTTGTTCAAAGAGGCAAGTAGACTGATGCTAATAGATATTTTTTTTTTGCTTATCGCTACAGGGCGAACATGGTGAGAGTGGATTTGATGGCACAGATGGAGAGCAGGTAATAATTGCTTTAAATGCGCAGTGCAATTAAAGACACCTACCTGAGGGTTCAAAAGTACAGATTTTTGTGCCTTTGAATGGACTTTAAACCTGAACAGAAATTCTGTTGTTTAGTGGTTAGAGTTGCGTACCTGATTGAAGTTGGTTTCTGACACACAAAATTTGGGAACCAAATTTATCAGACAGAACAAGAATTAATTTTCTTTTTTCTTTCTTCCCCCTTTGTGAGTCTAGGGAGAACACGGATTTCCTGGACCTTCTGGAGAGAAAGGCAACACAGGAAAACGGGTGAACTATCCTTTATAGTAATGTTTAGATTTTATGGAAACATCTTTCCAAAGTGCAATGCTATCTTTAATCCCTGTAAGGTTGTTTGTTTTTTTTTTAATAGCTGCTTGGTCTTTAATATGATGTGGCTTCTGCTGTAAATCAGTGTAGCTCCACTGACTTACAGATATGTGTTCTCTTATCTGGCTTTCCTCTACCACAGGTACTATTTCTACTTGTGCTCAAATTGCTTGTGCTCTGTTTATGAATTTAGGGCAGAAAAGGCACCAGAGGAGAGCCAGGTGAACGAGGAGAATCTGGTTTAAGAGGAGATCATGTAAGTGTATTCCTTCATTTTTGTGAGGTTGCACAGATTTGCGCCTGGATTTTGTGGTAGAGTTGCCTGAAATATATGGGATTTGAAGAGTGTTTCACAATCCTAGATAGTGCAGTACTCTGCAAGAATAGTGGGAGTCCTGAACTCTTTAGGTGCAGATGGACTGAAGTGTTTTGATATGCTGCTTGGATGCAAATGTTTAAGCCTCAGGCCTCCTGCTTGTTCCTTGCATTTTTGTTTTGTTTGTTTGTTTTTACCATGGGCAACATAACTCCTTTGGGAGCTACTTAGTCCTCCCTAGTGGTTCCCACCCTACAGAGGAGTTTCCGGATCACTTGAAAACCCTGTGCACTGACTCTTGGTTAGCAATTTATAATGATGGAAAGGCAAGTTGCTTCCTCATGCTGATATTTTTTTCCTTGCATGTTCCAGAGCCATATATAAATGCAGTCCCTGAGGACTAAAATTTCAGTGGAGACGCCACACTTGTTGTATCACAACTTTAAGTCTTCTCACACATATTTCAAAGACCTTTCTTACAGTCAAATACAGTGTTGACTCCTGTCTTCTAACACTCTAGTAAAAAAAAAATAAAAATCAGCGGTCATGGTAACTTGCCTCTTTGAGAGATCAGGATTTCACCTATGTCTAGCATTAAATGGCTAAATGGAACTCCTTTCTAGTGTAACCCCATCTGAAACTCATTAACTGGTTTATGATCTTAACTCAGTTAACTATACCCAAACAACCAGAACAGCTTTACATTTTCAGGGTTTAATTTGTTGTCCATTCGTAATATTTCTTTTCATCTCTTCACAAAAGAAACTTGTGGACTTAGCAGAACATCCTATGTAGTGTTCTTACAAGCATCTTCATTTAAAATAGCCTTTGTTTTTCTTGTTGGCTGCAATGACAAATCTCATTAATCCTATTTCCATATTCTGCCTCTGTAATCAGAATAATAAAGATGTGGTCACTGAAAATGCTGAGATTTCTGCTTAACTTTTCCAGGGAGATCCTGGGACTAGCAATAGTGTTCCTGGTCCTAAGGGTGAAAAGGGGAACCCAGCACGACAGGTAAGCAAGTAGTTCTATATTACAGAGAGAGGATTTGCATAATTGCTGAGTTCTATTGGCTGTCCAGTGACTAAGCAGCTCTTTCATTTTGTATTTTGCCTTTAGTGTATGTCTGCAATACATAAAGCATTGAGAAGTGCTTGATACCGTAAAAAAGAAAAAAAAAGTTTAAAAGGTTAACAAAGACTATGGAAAATTATAATAATATAGAGCTAAGGTGTCCCGATCCGATGTCGGGATCATTTAAATATCCCGATCCGATGTCGGGGAAGGTTTCGATATGATCCCAAGAGCGAGATTAAGACACAAAGGAGGTCACATGCCGCACTCCCAGAACACCTTTTATTACAAAAAGAAGAGTAATAAAGAGAATAGCGATAGGACAGGATGGAACGAAAGATGGGA